GGGAAAAGAATAAATAAGGAAATCAGTTTCTGGGTTACAAGTTGACCCCGGCACAAAAGACCTCCTGCGCAATGGATTTTTGCACAACAGACCACCTCTGGAGGTGGTTTCCCCTCCCACGCAACAGACTGATTTCACCTAACAGACTTCTGTTACTTTCAAATTGATGCTGGTGAAGAGAACACATTTTCAATTATATTAATCAAATTCACATAACAGACTTCACAAAACAAACTAGTCTGTTGCATGAATTCAGTCTGTTGTGCAAGGGTTGACAGTATGTAAAATTATTTAAATTTTTTTGTTCATTTGTCCACATTTTTTGATTTATTAGTTAAAAATATAAATTTATGGAAAATTAAAGATGCACAATTATAGAATGTGTACTGGGTTCTAAAGTAGGAAATATTTTGTAATTACTGTATGGGGATAAGCAGACAAAATTCCAGTATTCTAACTAAGTACATAAGTCCACTCAAGCAACACACATTTTAATCCATTCCACGGCAATTTCTGTTGCCAGAGGCACATGTCTCTCAATTTTGATACTAGCCTCTGGGAAATCAATTAATTTATAAAAGAAAATGTACCATTTGCTGAAACTAAAACAAATCAAACAAAAAAAAGAAAGATGACCACAATAAAATACCAAACCAGAAGCCATATTAATTCAAAGAATAAGAAGAATTTGAACTTCTTTTACCTTTGGATTCCCTTGCAGGAATTCAATTGTATTGAAAGAAAATGTTCATTTGGATTGTATGCATGAAAGTTTTTTCAGAGCTTCAAATTGGTTTTCTTTCATGTTTAATGTCTCTGATTCAAGTTGGGGGGAAATGACAACTACTCCAAGATCCATATCCTATGCATTTGTTGCCTATTTCCTTCTTCAATTTTTCCACCCTTGATTTCATAGAAAATATGCATCCCAAACACATCAATAAATGCCTTTAAAATTTGCTGAACAGACTTGTATCTCTATATACATTACCTTTAAAAACCTCATTACAACAAAGCCATCATCATCAGGACCTTGAAAAAATGTGGGTCTCAGAAACATTGGTCATACTGTGAATACTCTATGCTGTAATTTCACATAAAGTTTATTGGTTATGAAATAAAAATGAATGTATTATTATCATCAGCAATAATTTTATATAACAGGATCATTTGTGAAAAGATATGGTATGGATCATTTGATGCATCACTGAAATCACTGTCTCTGCTGTCTTATTCTGTTGCAGTGGTTTCCTGACTTTTTCCAAGACAAGCACCCGGATTCGGCAACCCTGGGAAGGACGATTCCATATATAAACCCGGGTAGAAGGAAGAAAACATAATTGAAAAAATAAAAAATAAATAGTAAAAACTGGTTTTTTCCCGCACCAGATAGCGATGACCAGCAGCAGACCATCAGTCAGTCGGTTGTAAACCGGAAACACCAGGCTGAAGAGTGGAACGAACCGAGCGAAACAAACTCGACTTTATATTTTACATTTTAATAATTGGTGGAGTCCTGGAGTATCTCATGTAGTAGTGTATACTGTACACATATATATATATATATTTATATATATATATATATATATATATATACAGTATACAGTATTTTTATACTGTAGATGCACTCAGTGGTGTGTGATTAATACAATAACCCAGCAGGGGACGAGGCTTTTCGAATCGGAATACATCTTTATTTGCCTGTGTGTGTCTCTTTCTATCTTTGAATATACATGCCTTCGACCCGCGGCCAGTCGAGCCCAGTTCTTCACTCGGGGAACAGGGTTGCTTTTTTTCCTTGCCCCTGATGTTTTATGCCTGGATTTTTATACAGCATATATTCGAATAGAAGACTATAAGTGCCAATTGTGTTTATGTGCGTGATTCCTGTTCCATGCGTGAAAGACGACCAGTGCGTATTAAAGGACCTGCTGGTGTTGAGTGAGACGTTGTTGTAACTGTTGGTTTTCGCTAATATACTTGTATATAGTGGTTATTGTTAAAAGGAGAATTGCAGAAAAGATTTTAAAATTAAGTTAGGTAAGTAGTAACCTTCCCCAGGCAAAGGATGCCATTGCCTGGGGGTTTGTTATTGTTAAAAGGAGAATTGCGGAAAAGATTTTATTTTTCCATTAGTGATTTGTTGTTATTATTTGGAAATATGCAGTTGTGAATCTCGTGGGACATGGGTAAAATTTATGCCCCAGGACTTTATGAGGTAGAGTTTGAAACCTTTGGAATTCCTCACATAGTATAGAGATGAAATGGAATTTGGGGGAAATAGTGACGCTGCTTTATGATAGAGTTGCAATGTGATTTTTTTTGCTGAATTTTTCAGTGGAACTGATCGGTTATAAATCACAGTATTTACTGTATATGATGACATCATTTCCCAATATATGCTTTGGTCTGAATTTTTGCGTGAAATGAGTTTTTTAAGATACATTTTTATGCCATTTTTAAAATCTTGGAAGTCATTCTTGATGAAGCTTGTGTAAATGTTTTGGTTGTCATATTTGAGTAGCTTATAGAAAAGCATCATTGTCATCTTCACCATTTTGAAAATGTGATCCTCTTCCAATGAAAAAATGTGAAGAAATAATTCATTTTATTTTGCCAGTTTATTATATTTCAGAAGCTTATATTTTTATTCAAATTATTTCAGGTGAGAAACGGGTTTAAATTCTTCAGTTTCAAAAACTGCTAGGTACTGTTTCTATTTTGCTCAATTAAAACATACGACATCTCCTTGTGATACATCACTAAAGAAATAAATAAATATACTTTATATTTCTGATGCATAATACACACACTTCTGTTTCCAGAGATTTGCATAAATAAGGAATTTTGGAGGTTGAATTGTTTGAATGGACTGTTTTCATTTTATTTTGTTATGTTTAATTTGTTTTATATGGCACTATGGTTGCTGTAATCATTCAACAAATGAATGTTATCCTAATTTATTTTCTTTAGTTTGATCCTAAATTCATGGTTTTAGACAGTTTCTAAGCTTTTAAAACCTATAAGCTATGGTGATTTGACTGGGATGGGAAGTAAAATTTTCAAGTTTTCAGGAAACATTCATTGTTTTGCAAGACTTTCATCCCAATATTGCGCCCCAATTTATGGAGGAAAAGTGCCCAGGAGCTTGCATAAATATGGCAATTAATTCTGCAGTGTCATTATATTAATAATCTCATCTCATCATTTCTCATATTTATTTTTTGAAACTCATTAATTTTCTACGCTCTTTTATGACATGAAGACTTTGATGTCTGCAAATGCCTGCAAAAGTGCCTCTATGATAATTCTTGAATAACTTTGCTATTTTTAATATAGACCACCATTGTTGTATATTGCTCATTTGCATGGATCAGTCCCTATATATGCAGGCAATATTTTTTTATTGACACACAAAGCAGACAGCTGAATAAAAATAAATTAATCAAGTGGTGTTCTTTTTCTGGTATAGGCAGAACAAAAATTCAAGTAGGAATAATTAACAGCAAAATTCTGATGAGGATTTCAGTTTTCAATAATGATGTCTGAATGTCCTCCACGTGCGGCTCCGCAAATTCCAAATTAAATTATGTTGCACAATGTCAGAAAAAAATCTATAATTCTTTGCGGATTTGATTTGCGCGTCCTTTGAATACAAAACAAATCCACTGTCATTGATTTTTTTTTTTCAACGATAGAAATTCCATCAATTTTTCCCGCCAGACAGTCATAACAAAACCGAGGGGAGGTCCTGCACGATATGTGTGTATAAAAGCGGATGCCGTGATGGACGCTTCGGCTTTGACCCTGAATCTCCGCATTTTCTGTGAATAAAAGATGTAAAACAAAGGAAGGAAAGAAGAAGGAGAGATAGAGAGAGAGAGAAACATTGAAGGAATTCATGCGTATACTGTATATATATATATTGCCGGGGTTTTTTGAAGGATGAACCCATTAATGGGCTGGAAGCTGACTGTCACGGCTCAACGCGGCCATTCCCGAGTCGACCAGGCGTGACTGTGTCACGAACCATCGCCCTCCAGATAAATCCATCTCATCCCACTGAATCCAACTACAGCACAGCTGGATTTGGGTCTCATCTCATGCTTTTATTTGTATATACATTACAGTCGTGGAAACTCTGTGCAGCGAATTTCCTTGTAATGAATCTTGGTCAAATGAAACTTGTTGCAATTGTGAAAATAATGCTCTTGTTACAATTGATATTTGTGTGCAATGGATGTTGCTACACTGACTTTTCATGGCACTGAATCTTAATTTTACAATTCATTTTACATGTGGACTTTTTCTTTGCAGTGATTTTTTTCTACGACAATTTTCTGAATATTACCCATTTTTTGTTAGTAAACATGGAATTTCTCCACAGAAGAATTCGAGAGACCAAAAAATTTGTTGAAAAAATATTTTTTTAGTAGAAAACATATACTTTCATAATACAAGGAGGATAATCCTATGGGAACAAGGACATATTTCATTGTTATACTGCAGTTGTATCTTATTCTTCAAATGTAATTTTCTCCAGCAGAGCTGCATTTGTAGTACAATTCACTTGTACTATGAATCATAATTTCCCATAGACTTCTATGTGAAATCTATTTTTTTCCAAAATTTTCCAAAAGTGCATGAAACAGAGCATAAAAATTTTTGCAAACAGGTTTAAACATCAATGTGAACATTGGTGTAGGAACTTGATGAAAACAGAGATTCCATCTGTACCACAGGAGTCTCTGTCCCAATAATCTGAAGGTTCTATACAAGACAATTATCTCTGCAACAAATTTGTTCAGGTCTTCTGAGTTTTTGGTTCAGCAACTCCACCTATATACAACAATAAATTGTGTCAGAATGAATCTTCAGCAAATTGTGTCACAATGAAGCTTCAGTAAATTGTGTCACAATGAATCTTCAGCAAATTGTGTTGCAATGAATCCTGTTCAAATGAAACCAATAATTTTGTTACATAATGCTCATGTTACAGCAGGTCTTATTACATTAAACATTCTTACCATGAATATTGCTAAAAATACATAGAATCTCCTTACAGTCAATTTGTTAATCAAGAATCTCATTACAACAAATCTTGTCACAACAGATTTTGTTACAGTAACCCGTGTTTCAACAAACTGTGCATAAAAATATTGCTGTGATAAAGTTTTTGGAAAGTTTTTCATTGCATCAAATTGTTGTTACCAATAAATATATCTTCAACGCTATAGTAAAATAACCGCAAATCATTTCATACAGGCATAAAAATTCTTTATTATAACAAAGCTGCTTTTGGATTTCATTGCTTTTGTGTTTTATTAATTCAAAAGGACGTTCAACTCCATGGACTTCTTGAGTGTAATGTTATGAAGAGGTATATGAGTAACTTTTGGTGAGCTGTATGTATAATGCCTGATATACAGTTGATTCTTGCACAATGCACCTCATCCTGCACATCAGATTTTTGCACAATGAACCACCTCTGCAAGTGGTTTTCCCTCCCATGCAACAGAATAAATCTGCTCAACAAACTTCTGTTGGTTTGAAATTGATGGTAAAAAATAAAAATTTTAAGATTTTATTAATTGATTTCACATCACAGACTAGTCTATTGCATGAATTTAGTATGTTGCACAGGGGTTGACTGTATGTGCATCAATTGATGGTTGAATGTTTTTGCTTTATTTTTTGAATATGCTGTAGATAGTAGAATCTTGTTACCCTAAACTTCATTGCATCAATATATCCTATTACTTAATTATAAAGTTCATACAAAATTATCAATAAAAGTCTCTGCAGTAAAATACACAATACAAAACATTTTATTAGGGCCTTAATTCTTCGATTTTGTTTAATGAAGGCCTGATTGTATGACATAATGGCTTCCTAGTTGTTAAAAGATTCCACAGAGTTTTCAAAAAATTGAACCCAAGAATTCCACTGAAAATGTTGTGCAAATTACGTTATTATTTTCTGGGATTGACCCTGAAAAATGCACCACAGTTCAGAGCAGTATAAGCAGGATATTCTCATGGTAATATATTTAAACAATTATATATATTTAAAATTTAAAGTATGTTAAATGTTTTGTTCTCAATAGCAGCATGATAAGTATAGCAGTGTACAGCATGACTGAAGTTCAAGTCATCCCTGTGAGAGCAAAAAATTTAACCTCTCTCACTTCGGTTGATAAAAGGTGATTCCTTGTACTATATCTGGAGTACAGTACTGTAAAAAAAAATATCTTTACCCTCAGGCAATCATGCATAAATGTACACTTCTAGTCTATGTGAAGTGTTGTTGACAGTGGGATTCCCTGCATGAGCAACAATTTCGACCCATTCATGAATAAAATGGCAATGATTGAAAAGAAGTACTGATGGTTGTGAGGGTTATTTTATGACTTCACTTGAATCCGAGCTTTTACTTTCTTTTTAATATATATCCCGAGCGAGAAGTGATAATAGGTTTGAAATAATGTATTCGTTGCTGAAAAAATAGTATAATTACTGTACCAATAAATTCGTCCAAAGGTTTGCAGACTCCTGTACTTCCTGTAACATGAAAAATCAATTTTTTAAATAACCTACATCTTGTTGAAAATTTTTTTGAATTTTTTCATGTTATTTTCTCGACGATCCTACGAAGAAGGGCAGTGCATGACACTATTTGTGGTAATGTCACGCAGGTGTCGCTGGAATCGCTGGCCCAGAAAAATACTTGGAAGTAGTGTGTACATTTCTATGATTGCGTCTCGGCCAAGTTTACTTGAATTTCGTTTTTAGAAAAAAAAACGGTGGAGAAAATGCCTCCAATTAAAAACGTGTTGTTTGCAATGTTTCTCTGCTTTGAATTTTTTTTTGCGAAAATTTTTTTTAGCTTTGTGCGTTGGCGTGTAATTCATCTGATGTGTTCAGTCGTGCTGTCGAGCGAATCCTTTCTCTGAGTCGTCGGTATTGTGATTATTATCCGATTCCGACTTTGTCACGAGGTCCTCGGATTACGTTTTGATTCTCTCATCCCACTCTTGGATGAGGCCCTGAATCGTGGTTCACCTTCAATGTCAATCCATTTCCTATTTATATTTTTTTGGGGGAAAACATATCAATATTGACATCATAAGTCCACTTTCGGTCAAGAGCGTGTTTCCCTAGTTTTTTTTTCAAGTACTGTACCTTTTGATGTAACTTGTGGAATACCTACGTTTGGGCCTCATCTAATCCGCTTTATTTTTGCACTAGAAAAAGAAAAAAAAAACGAATGATTCTACCCTTGACCCTACAATATGTACTGTATATTCTGGCTGTTAAAAGCAAAGGTGTTTCATGCAACGAAATAATCCTCGTCGCAAGGAAGAACAATATAATAAGCATGAACCCATTTTTTCCCATCATAGGAAAGACGAATATGTTTTTTTTTTCTTTTTTTTCAGTTTAGTCGTTCGAAGTTCTTCATTTCCGTTCTTTTACATCCAACATTTTTACACAAAAAAATAATGAAAGTACGTGGTGGGCTTTCTCAGGTCTATTTTTTAAATCCGAAAAACAAGTCTCATACAATTAAGAAACAAAATTATTTAAAATTATCAGACTCGTTGTGAAAAGTGTTTTACAATAAGTGCCTGTGCGTTTTTTTTTAAATATATTTCTGATTTTTCCGATATTCATATATTTATTTAATGAAATTTAGAATGTAAGACTAATAGTGTGATGAGTGCATTCAATGGTCGAATTAATTAGGATAAATTATTCTCAGATAGTGAAACGAGGTCATGCGAGTTTTGCTCTAATTGTTGCTTTTGTGGAAATTTAAAATGCGTCCGATATGATTTTTTTTCTGTGCAAGTGATGCTATCGGGGAAGGATTTTTTCGAGACACTGTGGAATATTATCTACAAAAAAATTCACAGCAACGGTTGAAAATACTGTTTTCATGTTTGAAATAATTGTGATGGCTTATTTAAGAAACAAAAATATGCAGTGAGTTTTTGAAAGGTGGTTCTTTTTTTTTGCCTTGTTTTTATCTTTCTGCTTTTCAATTTGTGGTTGATGCAGTGTTGGTTTTATGTGTTTATTTACAGCAGAACCTCTGGAAGTTGAATCTCCATAAGTCAAATACCTCCCTAACTTGAATTGTATACTATTCACCATCTGAATTCCCTTAGAAACAATGCATCAAAAACCTCTCTAACTCAAAGTCTTTTTCTCCACACTTCTGTAAGTCAAATTTGCTGATGTCTTCTGGTTACTATTTTCTTGAAACATGAAAGAGAAAATCAATGAAATGAATTATTTTATGCATCTTTAAAGGAAGTGGAAGAATAATTGAGCAAATGAACCCCTGCCTCCAAGTTCAGGAAGCTGTAAACTTATTAAGGAACGAGTTTAGGCCCAGAATATCCTCATTTACAATTTCCTACATTTTACTCCTTATCATTGCAGCAAATAAAAATTGTTTCCCTAACTCAAAACCTCCATAAGTCAATTTTTTTCTCCTGTTCCCTGAAAATTCAACTTGGAGAGGTTCAACTGTACATAATGTGCTGAATGAAAAGTTATGAGTTATTGATAATTCAAAATTAAAAATATTTCTTGTTTTTATGCATTTTGCAGAAGGCCAAAGGTTAAAAACCTTGGGGCTGGTTGGTGATCAGAATGACACCGCGACAGGATGTTGTCTTGACATCTCTCTTGAAGAACAAGATGACTGAATCTGTTATTCTGCTGCTGGGCGTGTTGATGCTTATCAGTGCCTGCTCAAACTGCAATGCTCAAGGTGAGGTTCTCATTCAGTGATTGGAATTTCCATGGTATTCATTCAAAACTATGAAAATTGAGGTTGCACAATTTTGCCTTTACCCTCAACCATCAATATTATTGTGTTTAAGTGAAATGAAGGAGAGAGAACTATTTTTTCTGGCTTTGTCTCTCTCTCTCTTTCTCTCTCTCTCTCTCTCTCTCTCTCTCTCTTTCATCAGAATTTCTAGAATGTCTTCTGTATCACAAGCATTATTGTCAGTCATATAGTGAAACAAATTTTGTCTTTCATGAGATGAGAAAATTATTTGCTTGAAGTTCATATAATTTATAGTGAAGGATTTTATATATTTACAGAGCAGAATGATCACACAAAGGAGGAGTTTGCAGGAATAAATTGGTATATGTCAATAATTGGAAAGTGTGCAACCTGATGAGATTAAGTGCAAATCTGTTTTTCATGTAATGAAGCATTCAATATTGCATAGTATGTGTTTTTCACACACTGCATTACTAGAGTTGATGTAGAAAAAATATTTCATGATAGTTCCCCTGCTATGAACCTTCCATGCTAACAAAAAATATCTAAATTGAATTGTTGTGTGGAACCACTTGGAAGCATGTTTTTCATTAATAACAGCTAACACCCATGCTACAAGAACCATTAAAACACATTTGGGAGCAGAAATTTCAGACAGTTCATCCCTTAGTCAAGAAATTTTTTAATTGAGAATCTATTAAACAATTATCAAACATGTTTGTAAACTGGAATTGGAAGTTCATTATGCAGTTGAAGCTCTCAAAGTCCACTTTCAAGGGACCAGCAAAAAATTTGACTGTGAGAGGGTTTGACTTACAGAAATTTTGAATTATAGAGGCTTGAATCACCAAGCCAAGAATACTTGTTATGAGAAACATATAAGGATTGCACAAAATTGTGAATGGGTGATATTTTTGGCCTTCTTAAATGCTTCTTGCATGAGTTAACACCATGTTGAACTGAGAGGCAGGGGTTCATTTGCCCAATTAGTCTTTTACAGTATTTCCTTTCAAAACATGTCAAATTCCATTTATATTGCTTTTCTTTTTCCTGTGTCAAGAAAATGATGGAAAAATTGCCTCAGAAAATTTGACTTTTGGAGGCTTGAAGGGGAAAGACTATGAGTTGAACAGGTTTGTAATGCGTTGTTTCTAAGGGAATTCAGGCAGGGCCTTTAAACAAAATTGGTTTGTGCTTTGTTTCATGCTTTGAAGTGATTGAATGTCTTTGGGGGGAGTTGGGTTGGGNGATTGTCTTTGGGGGGGGTTGGGTTGGGTGGGGAGGGGGTTTGGATGTGGGAGTCTTGGTTTTGCCTTATGAATGCTGAAAAGCGGCAAATAAAGTGTTCTGTTCATTCATTCATTCAAAAAAAATCGACTTTGGGAAGTATTTGACCTAAGGAGGCTTGATGTACTGAGGTTCACCACATTTAAAAAGGTTTTTTGAACATATTCTGTATGGGATTTCAGTTGGTACTTACAAAAAGTCTGTTTTACTGAGAAAGATGTCAAAATGGTATTTGTTGTAACAAGATTTCACTGTACAGGTAAAATCAAAGGAAAATAATGTGCAAATAATAACTGAGGTCCTTGCAATGTGACCTCAGTTGCACAGCTTCATAGAATTTTTTCATTGAAACTTGATGGTAAAATTTGCAGGGAGGTTGACTTACAATTGATCCTCTGCCCCACAATTTTACCTGAACAGAGATGCAAAAAAACAACATTTTTTGTAGAAAACATTGCATTTGACAGTGCGATTGCAATTCATTGCATTTGACATTATTCTTGCAATTCATCCAGAAAACATTGCATTTGACATTATTCTTTCAATTCATCCACATCACACTTTGAACCTAGCCCAGCAGGGGCAATGGATTAGGGTTGCATTGCTGACAAGAACCTGCACCTAAAAAAAATTCCCTGTTGGTACCCATGACTTTGTTGCATAATGAGATTTTAGTACTGTACTGCATCAAGATTTCTCCCCTCTTCCAGTGTTTTTCCCAGGTGCCGGTGCAGGCTCAGGATCAAACCCAGTAACCCGGGCACCATTACAAGGCACAGGCACAGGTGTCACCAGCAATAACGCGGGTTCTGTGCCAGCATGTCGAACCCCTGATCGGCAACCCGGTCGCTGTGTGACTCTGGACCAGTGCCCGTCATACCTGAAACTCCTGGAGAACCCCTCGGCCGGGGTACTTAATTTCCTTCGCAGCACCATCTGCGACTTCCGGTTCAATCGACCGTTCATGTGCTGCCCTGGGGCAGTGCCAACAACAACCACTACTACTACAACTACTACTACTACTACTACTACAACTACTACGACGCCTCCGCCGCCACCAACGGTGCCACTGCCGACACCGGGTTCGCATGTGCCTGTGCCTTGTAATGGTGCCCGGGTTACTGGGTTTGATCCTGAGCCTGCACCGGCACCTGAGAAAAACACTGGAAGAGGGGAGAAATCTTGATGAGAAATCATATGAGGCCAACAGTTTATCTTGATCCTTTAAGATATCAAAAAGGGTCTCTTCATTGAATTCGGATACTTGTAAATCTTTCTTAAGCCTGTTTCTACCAGTATGAAATGCTGGACGTAAGAGAAGATACTCTGGTGATGCACAAACTAATGTATACACTGAGACCACAAGATGAGGATATAATCTATGCATCAAAAGTGTCCCAAAGGTGAAAAATTACAAGTCAAGTCTTATTTTCCCTTAGACTTGCATTATATAATTTTTAGTTGGTGTTTCATATGGATAAGAAAAAAATATTCATCAGAATTCCATGTAAAAATGGGGGAAGAGTTTTCTGCCAATTGAAACCAATTCAATAGATATCTTTCAACTTGATAAAGACATCTGGAGCATTATGATTACTGTATCTCTGTAAAATACATTGAAATGTTGGCATTCTCTATAATAAAAAAATTTCAAGTAAAAAATAGAGAAGGAAGTCCCTCTATGCTGGAGGTATTTTTTAAATTAGGTAAATGGACGGTGAAATGATTAAAGAAATGCCAAAGAACTTTTGCTTACATAGATCTTAGGGTTGGCAGTTTCTGTTTCTTGTAATTTGGCCTGAAACTTATTTGCAATATTGGCATGCAATGATTCAGCATCCGCATGTTTGGCCTTTTTTATGCATTTTTAAAGGAAAATAAAGTGTCCATTGGTCAGATTGTCCGCATGTTGAGGTGTCTGCATGTGGGGGTATCACTGTAATTTGAATGTCATCTCTTATTTTAGAAGATTTTCGCATTTTGAACCAAGAATCTACTTTTCACTGCATTCTTTGTGCAATTTTTGATGAAAGCATTGTAAAAGATATTGTGCTTTAGTACACTTAAGAATGAATTGAAATTTGAAGAAATTGTCTAAACTTTAGAGGATTATTTCCTAATTTAAATCATCCTGATTTGTTTTGAAAGACTTTGAGGAGAAATCTTTCTTGAGGCAGTGTATTTTTTTTTTCAAAAATGTTTTGAAAGTCAACCCAAGTGTGGTAATTTTTTCATCTCACAAAAACGCAAGTATAAGCTCAATAAGTGTCAAAATTGGAAGTACAGTAGTTTTGATATCATTCAAATCATGCAAGTGAATCAAGTATAAAACATGCATGTTAATTCCGCTGATTTACGTTCTGCAGAAAAAAGAATGAAGCCAATGATGCAAAATTATATTGCTGTCAATAATTTATATATACAGTATATACAAAATACTAAAAAATATGTCAACTACCTAAACCAATTTCCCTTAATTCATAATCCACTTGAAAAGCTTCATTGAAGTTAATGCTCGGGTCAAGGGCACAGTTCTTCCCCAATAAAATAAGAATCAGATTTATTTTTTTACACACACATCACACACAAAAGCGCATATTTTTGCAAGCGGAAACTGTGTCGAGGTCTTTAGTGTTCGACAACACTTTCCATTGTCGAAATTATCCTTTTCTTCAATGGGGGTTTCAAATGTTTAAAAAAGAATTAAATTACGTTTTTGTTGCATGGAACCGCACCTTTTTCCAGTTAACCCTTAATCGCCCCCTCGAACATAAAGAGTCAAGAGCTGTTGTACTGTAATAACATATTTACTTGTCGGATTCCATGCAATGCATGCTTCACAATGTGCTTTGATGATAATGGGGCTTAATTCACTCACAAAAGGGCCAGCGACTCTTGACCTTGTTGAAGCGGGGCTAGAAATTGAATAATGTGAAACCCCACCACAAAAAAAAGGAACCCGAATTTTTGGGTTCAAGTCTATTATTTACGCTTCTGAACTCGCGAAGCGTTTTCAATTGCAAAACGCCCATGGAAAGAAGAAAAGAAGGGGAAAATTTCCACAGCTTGCTTCATCATGATGTAACTTTTTGTCATGGGGTTTGTAAACAAATGTGATTTAACAGAAATTGTTTGGTTAGAGGATTTTTTTGCATTAGATTTTAGGCAATGTTTGTTGAAAAACTGAAGATGTGTTGCAGGAAGAGTTTTTCCTATACATGATATTAAAATTCTGCGATATTTTTTTTTTTCATTAGAGAAAGGAAAATGTGATACAAATTTATTCAGTCAGTCAGTATCTGCAGATATAAATATGTCTTCAAATAAAGCACTTTACATCTTAAATGCAAAAAAATCTTCTCAAAAAATCCTATTACTGGTCAAGAAAATTTTCTATCAAACTCTTTATATTTTTTCTTTCCCCTTCATATAGTGCAACTTTTGAAATAAATTACTTTAAAGAAAAAATTAATTTTTGGTTTTCTGATGGAATTTGAGGAGAATGTAATTTTCTTCTTTTGAAGAAACTGACCTAATTCTGATGTTACTGGGTTTTTCTCTGGTCAAGAGTCTCAAAGCCAGTTTCCAATTGAACCTTTTCTTTCTTTTCACATTGCATATTTTGAACTACAGTTGGCCCCTGCACAACAGACCTCCCACACCACAGATTTTTGCACAAGAGACCACCTCTGGAGGTGTTTTCCCTCCTGTGCAACAGAGTAAATGTGCATAACAGCCTCCTGTTGGTTTAAAATTAATGTTAAAAAGTTAAAAATTTAATTTTCTATGAATGAATTTTGCTCAACATACTTTTCACATATTAGACTAGCCTATTGCACAAATTAAGTCCATTGTGTGGGAGGATTGGGCAACTATAGAGTTGAACTGGGAGAACTTGAACCTTTAAAATTTGGATGATGCCTCCGTATGCCAAGATGTTGATGTACCTCCTTGAATTTTGTTGAAAACACTGCATTGAAAACCTTCCCAACTCAAAAGTTGTACTTGTTGAACCTTCATAACGTGCATTTTCTGGAGGCCTGTTGGTTATTATTTTATTGACACTGGAAAGAGAAAAGACATGAAAATTAATTGGATGTGTTTTGAAAAGAAGGGAAAGACTTGTTGGGCAAATGAATCCTCGACTGCTATAGTTTAACATCTTTTCAATGCATTCCAGAAGCAATTTAAGCTCTAGAATGTCACCAATTACAATGTCCTCTAATTATTCTCATCTCCTCCAACAAAAATGCACCTCTCATTTACCTCAAAACCTCCCCAACTTCTATTTTTCTTCTGTCCCCCTGAAGTTTGACTTGAAGAGGTCCAACTGTGGAAACAAATCTAGGTCAACATGTTTTTAATTGTAATATCCATTGGGTGTTTGACGGTACAACATTTATTTTGGTAAAAGCCACCCTGTTCCTTGTGGTTATGTCATTGATTGTGTGTGTGTGAGTTAGGTTTACACAAAAGGAGGCAAAATTTGAAAATAAAACACGAAATCAGCTGTGGGCTGCAGCATGGTAAAATGTATTTCAATTTTTAACTGTAAGAAATTCACACGCTTCTTCACATAAAAATTCAATGGATAAAGATAACCTCCAGTCATAACTCATAAGATTACAGCACGCATCTGTATCAGCACACCTGATTCTTCTGCACACCTGATTTGTTAAAACCCTTGAAGGGAACAGATTAAAATATCTAGTATGCAATTAATATGGCTGCCATCTAACAGCAGTCAGTGTGCAAGTATAGCAGTACATTAAGGTACCAAATTTTTCCATCACATTGTGTATGTCTGGTCAAGTCATGTTTTAAATTGAACCTCCTCTTAATTTTTTTCTCCTTCCTTTTCATATTGCCCCCCTTTTTGGAAAAAAAAATGTACAAACGAAAACGAATTGGTACAAATGCTGCCTGCCTGGACAAATGCAGACAGCTGGCCTTGGATCGCAGTGCTGGGTTATGAAGGGTCAGACGCGACGAGTTCTCTGCAGTGGCTGTGCGGAGCGAGTCTCATCACATCCCGCCACGTGCTGACTGCGGCCCATTGCGTGATCGAAAGAGACGACCTGTGAGTTGGTGCTGTATATATGCTGTATCTCTCTCTTTCCTTTTAGTGTGTCTTCTTCATTTCTTGTTGGTTTCCCGCATCTTGTTGTGCTTGTATATGCAGCACCGACAAGATGGATGGGTTCAAGTATATGCGGGGGGAACCCGCCGTAACCTATGCTGCTGCATGCTGGCCGCTAAAAGAGAGAGATAGAGAGTCGAGGGTTGTCCAACAGGTATAGCATGGATGGAAATTGGTGATTGTGCAAGACCTATATAGAGTCGGGTCAAAATCTTGGGAAACGTTTACTCGAAACTCTGAAGCACTTGGTTAATGACCGTCCATCTTGGTCATCTTTTCCCACACTTCTGCATCATTTTAAAGGAAATAAAATAAATGAATGAAATGTGGGAGGGGAGAGAGATTGGTGGCAGCTCATTTATTTAGAAAAGGGTTACTTTTGGAATATTTTCATGCTGGCAGCTCATTATTCATGCATTTGTATGTACAGTACAGTACTAGCTGTGATGTGTATTTTCTTGCAATACCTTCTGTGTGTACACAGGATTATTTCTGATAGGCTGAAATATTTAGAATTTGTGTGTATAGGGGTTGGGAAAATTTTTGAAAACCATGTGAAAGCTGAAAAACAGCAATTATAGCATGCATAATATGGAAGAATGGAATATGCTATTCCACTCACTCAATTGGAATATTAGTTGATGCAAATGAACTGGATGAGACATTTGAATTAAATTGAATAGCAAGCTTTATTTTCTGCTTTTCAGCATTCCCAAGATTCAAGCAACAGTCCCTCATTCAAAAAAACACAATATCAGTAATAAGAATGGCAGCGTGAGGCAATTACTGAACCAAAATTGAAGCAGAAAGTGTTCAGCCTGCTCCCAGATTTGGTTTAGTTGATTAAAAAATTTGGAGAGAATCTTTGATGAGAATTCACATAAGGTTTACAGTTTATCTTGGTCCTCTTAAGAATTTGGAAAGAGCCTTTTCATTGAGTTTCAAGGGTATCGTTCCACATCTTTTTGAAGCTAATTTCTGTAGCTATGGAATGCTGGGCATAAGAAAAAGCTATGCAGCAACCAATGTATTCATGAAAACAATGTATTAATGATGAGACATTTGAAATCTTTTGTAGAATAAGTTGTGTATAGCAATAATTTCATTTCTAGCAATAAGATTCAGTGGCATTTGAAGCTGCTTTCCACTTTTATATCTACATGTTTCATCCTTATTTTGCTTTTCTTATAGTCATCTACTCATCTGTAATGAAAGGTTTCTAATATATAGAAGCCAGCCTCTTCATGAATGAATGAATGAACAGAACACTTTATTTGCCACTTTTCAGCGTTCACAAGGTTCAATCAAGATTTCCACAACCAAACCCCATTCCCACCCAACCCAAATCCACTCAATGAAATTTAATCTTTATTGCTTCAGAAAAATTCAACAACAGTACTGTATTTAATTTAAAATTCAGAAAATAATTCAGGTGACATCTATGAGACAGGAAACTAAAACCATGGAGTTCAGCCGGTTTGGGGATGACATCAGTGAAAAAATTATTGAATGATTAAAATGCAGTCAATGAAGCAAAATCAAAAACTGTAATAAATGTAAACATTTTTCATTGCCTGTCACCCATCGCATACAAATCGTTGCATTTTTTTTTTAATGTGAAGATGATATACTCGTCCTTCTGAACCCTTTTAAGGAGTGTTTCTGTCTTCTATATTTGTAAATATATATATGTGTGTATAGGAGAGTGGCTCGTTTGGGAGAACACGATTTGGACATCACGGATGAAGCCCCGGCAGAGGATTACAAGATTGCCAAAGTCATGATGCATGAAGGATACAACCGACGATCATTTGACAACGACATTGCTATTCTTGAGTTGGACAGAGATGTCGTCTTCACAGGTATGTAAAGCAGTTTTTCATGCACGACAAAAAAAAAGAGAGCGGCTTTTTTGAAGGAAATATTTTTTCTGAATCTCCGAAAAAAATATTTGTTTACTGATGGAAAAAGAGGAATAGTGCTCAAATTTTGTTGTTGTGATTGTTCAAACATTTTTGAGAGAAGGAGAGGGAAATTATCTCATTGGGAGAATCTGTATGATTGTGAGATACAATATATTTTTAAAATAGCCAAGTTTTTATTTTGCAAATCTCATCTTGCATCGATTCTTCGTTTCAAGATGTTTACAATTTACCCAGACATTTTCCCCGAGATTGTAATTAAATCTTCCTTCTCACAAACTTCGCTTCTTTTTCTTCAAAAGCTGAATTTCGCAGGAAGCACGCATTTTCCTCAGAAATTTCCAACAATTCTTGACACCATCAATTTCCAAATATTCATGACAAAATTGTTTTTACGTGAGCGAATTTTTTTTCGACAAATATCTCGTGCGTCGATTTTTTTACTTAAAATTTTTAGTATTTAAATAGCCAGACATTTTCCATGAGATTGGAATGGAATATTCTTCACATAATTTTAAGTTTGTTTTCTGTAAGAGCTGCATTTCACTGGAAGCACACATTTTCTACCGGAATTTCGATCAAATTTTTATTATATCTTTTTAATTGCAAAAATTATGAGATCATTGTTTTCACGCGACTTTTTCCAAAGCCCGGGAATCAGAATAACTTTTGAGATCCAAAGCTTTTGTCTTGGCTAATTTTTTCTTTGACTTTATCAAGTTAATTTTCACAGAAAACTAAGGTTTCCCTTTCAGCAAAAATAAAATGAGTGAGAAATAAATTAGCTGTTAAGGTTTCATTGAGACCAGATTGAGATGGACTTTTAAATTCGAAATCAACTTCAGTGAATGAAAATTCGCAGCATTCATTTGAAACTCGATATGACAATTTCCAGGCAATCTGCAAAACCTACATTTTATGACAACCGTTCGTTTATATTTTCCTGGTCATCGAAACGGAAACCAGGTCATATTTTATAGAACAAATAAACTGCAAATTTCATGAAAAATGACCGAATTTATTTTCACATATCCGCGTCAGTTTTTCTTGCAAGGAAAATGTGCGCAACGGCCGCGATATAGTAACAAGAATGTATATTTCTGCACAGGAATATCATGAAAATGAAATTGAATTTTTTAAACCTTTTTCTTATTTTGCAGAGGAAGTGCGTCCGGTTTGTTTGCCGATTGACCTAGAGAACAAGAACCGTAATTACACGTCAAGGAATCCTTGGGTCGGCGGTTGGGGTACAGTGGAGTTCAGTGAGTCACATTTCTTCGTCATCTTGAATCGTTTTCTATAATAAAAAAAATTGTGATGAATCTATATTCAAGGATGTGTGAAGAAAAAGGGTGAAACTTATCATGACAGTAATAATAATAATAATGCTACAACCTCGAGACTTCCGACAGGAATAATCATTTCCGTGGTCATCAGTCTTCTCATCGTCGTCGTTAAGTTCCTTTCGAAGTTTTTATTCATCGTGAAAAAGTACCTAAAAGTCATGGGAGAGGTGTTTCGAATTAGCATTTCGTTTTCATCTTGGTGAAGTGAATTGATTCAAATGAGAAAATGTATTTTTTTTAGACTGAAACTCTTTAAAAAAATTATTCTTTCATTTTGTTCACGAAATTACTGTGTATATATTTTTGCCTCGGTTCGGAAATATCTACTAATTTTAAAAATTTCACTTTGAAAGCATGATCTTGATTAAGCCGTCAAAAACTTAAAATTCAAACATATTTGACAATTTTCTTTTGGATTATTAGCATTTATGTGAGAATTAAGACATCAAGATAATATTTGTGATATTGATTTAACTCGGATGGAAATTACGCTGATTCGACACGATTTGGCAGATGAGGAAATCTGTTTTATTTTTCTCATTAATTTTTTCAATATTTTGGCAGATGGACCATCGAGTAATATTTTGAGAGAAGTGCAAGTTCCAGTCCGTTCGAATGCAGAATGTGAGAAGATCTTTGTGCCATTCAAGAATGTCAAGATCTCGACTTCCAAGCTTTGTGCAGGAAGGTTGACTGGAGGCAAAGATGCTTGTCAGGTGAATAATTCTCAGGTTTTTGGTATTTTTTTATTGGCTGAAAATCGGTGTGGAATTATTTATGGCAGCCGATTATTCTTTTAAGCTAGGCGAATTTTTTTTTTTCAGCACATCAAAGTGCTGTGGGTTTTTCAAGCTTTTGTTTGATGTACTATATTCATTAGATTTTGAAAATTTTATTTACAGTATGTCCCAGCATACCAGAGTTAATTAAATCTGGGATAGATTTTTTCAGGATGAATTTTTTTTTGATACTGTGCCAAAATTATTTCTCCTGAATTTGAATTGGGAATTATTGAATTTTTTTCAGACTCTCACCTACGACCATGATTAATTTTGGAACCTTTTTTCTTTGCTTATAACGTGACATTTTAACCTTTAGCAATACTTTGGATGGAACTTAAGTATAATCCTTACAAATTTTTGCCCTGTTGTCCTTTCTATTACAGGACTGAGTCGAGAATAAAAGAACCAAGTTCTTATTCTGGATCAAATATCTTTATACAATATTCTCATCCACATACAAACATTCAATACAACGATACAAATACACAAACACACAAGTCCAGCTTGTACTTTACTTTAAAATAGGTTTGAGCTTTAGCAAGGCTTTGGCTATGGAGTTTACTGTATGAAGCTTGGATGAGATCTCTCTTGTGATTTCACCAAGCAGGGGTATTTAAGCCTAGCCAGCCTAGATGAGGGAACAAAGGTTTATTAGCTGCGCTGGAATTATCGCCTTTAGGGTTAGGATGAAAGGAAATAATGTGGAAATCACTCTGAGTGAAATATGAGTGCGCTGGTTATACTTCAGTAGTAATGACCATGCGCCACATGAACGAGAGATCCGAATATCACTGGATTTCACACAGAGTTGAGCTCACCAGGGTTCCAGGATTGATTGTACCATAATTACCGTAAGGAAGGCTATTGTGACTAATCATGAGAAGTTGTCAAGACTTCTCATAAAGGAAAAGGAAGCAATTATCTATGCTTCCATGATTTCCAGAGTGAAATATGAGTGCGCTGGTTATACTTCAGTAATAATGACCATGCGCCACATGAACGAGGGATCCGAATATCACTGGATTTCACACAGAGTTGAGCTCACCAGGGTTCCAGGATTGATTGTACCCTAATTACCGTAAGGAAGGCTATTGTAACTAATCATGAGAAGTTGTCAAATCTTCTCACAAAGGAAAAGGAAGCAATTATCTATGCTTCCATGATTTCCGTTTCTAGGCTTTCTAAATGGTTTCTTCTGAAACTACCAAAAAGGGTATTCTGTAAATTAGTGTATTTCTAAGATAACAACAGCAACGATCTCTTCATAGAAACGTCGCAAGAATTCAAAAGTCGAGTCCAACATCGGGTTCAAAACCTCGTGATCCGCGTGAATCGGGAAATTTGGTGTTCCTGGAGTCACTGAATCTCCAAAGCAGGGTGTCAACAACTCTGCATATAGAAACCAGAATTTCATTCCCCCCATGGGACCTGTAGATTCATGCCGAGGTCGTAAATACTCATAATGCCCGACCTGGTCTCCCGCGTCCCATTGCATACGTGTGCCCCGGGGCATCAAATTCCGGGATTACCCTAATTCCGTTGATCCTGGCGAAGGTAATTACATTTTGCACGTCCTCTGCACCGTAGATGTGATTCGGGGAATATGCTCCCTGAAATACAGGGTGATACAGAAGGCACAACAGGTATGTATATATATATATATATATATAAAGACCAGCAATGAACGGGAATCTTTCACCGAGCTTAAATTTTTTTCATAAATAAATTCTCGCCAAAGCGTGTTGTTGAAATTCGAAAGAAAAAAATTGAGCATCATAAAAATTCTTGATTAGACTTTTTATAGTTGCAATCACGAGTTCGTCAAGCAACTGATGCGAGAGAAAAAAAAAATATATATATGATAACATTATTTTTCGGCTAATGTGGACTCCATATACTTTGTCCTAAAAAAACAATTTTGACATCCTCACGAGAGCAGCTATTTTTATTTAGACACAAGGAAGAATTTTTTTTTGCATCTTCGTTGAAAATATGATCGTCTATTTCGTGAATTGTTAGTATATAAATCAGAATTTATATACTTTTTTCATTAAAATACACATTTTATCATTATTTTTCCAAAAGTGACGAAGCATGCGTTTCTTGCATGGTAGATGTGCTAGAATATTTTATTTTCTTTCACTCGGCCCATATTCTGCAATAAAATTCATAGATGCGCACGAAAACGTGAAAACTCGAAATTATTTGCGACTCTCTTTGTTAATTACCCTGTATGTACGAGTATATAATAGTCTTACCATAGTTCCACATTAAAACAAAGATATGACGCTGAGCGTGCGAGATTAATTCCTGTAGACTTTGTGCAAAATCGTGGCTCCTGCGTTCAAGCATGAATCAAACATTAAACTACTGTAATTAAATTAATTGCACTATCGACTATAATATGTGCCTATTGGCCGGTTCATCAATGCATCCCGGAATATACACTCCTCATCGAGTTTTACCGGAAGAAGGATTTGGTTAAGACTTTTCGTTGATGGAAGTTCGGGGAAAGAGACCTGAGCGGAAAGTTCTGGGAACGTGGAGCTTTCGTAAGGAAATGACTGATCGTCAGATAAATGCCAGTGGAGCACGTTGAACTTGTTCATTCTCATTGCTTTGATGACCAGCTCGATATCTCGCATCGGGATGAAATGCCTTGCCGAGTCCAACATGAGCCCACGATGAGGAAACCGAGGTCTGTCTTCCACCACTGTCTCGTTCATCACATACTACAGTATTTGCATACCAGAGAAGAGAGAGAGAGAGATAGAGAGAAAGAAAGAGATAGAGAGAGGAAAAACAAGAGAAAGAAAGAGATGGAGAGAAAACGAAAGATAAGAAGTTATTCTACCATCTGACTTTTCTATGCACATACTTCTTCAACAACAAAAAAGTCATCAAATTTCTTCCTATTTCCAGAGGAGAAAAAGTTTAAATGATGATGAAAAATGATAAAGTTTAAATGATGATGATGAAAAATGATCAAGTTTAAATGAAAAGCTTATTGATGATTTACCTACATGCAAGTAATTATTTTTCATACTTAAACAATTACAGGTGAACCTCAATAACTCAAACCTCCCTAATAAGTCAAATACGAGTATCTCCGTAAATGAGTCGAATTTTTTATATATTTTTTGTCTTGGTATGAATTCCCTCAGAAACAATGGATTAAAAACCTAAATAACTCAATTAAAGGCCTTTCCTCTCAAACCTCCATAGCTCGAATTTTCTGAGCCTTTTTGGATATTATGTACAGTATTTACTTGACATAGGAAAGAGTAAACAAATAGAAAGTAATGCGATGTGTTTAATTTTGAAAAGACAATTAGGAAAATGAACCCCTGCCTCCAAGGTCAGCATCCTGTCAACTCATTTCAGAAGCAATTTTAAAGCCCAGAATTTAATCATTTGCAATTTCTTCAAATTCTTCCAATTTCCCCACAACAGGATTGCTTGTTCCTCGATAACTCAAAACTCTCAAACTCTAAGCCCCCCGAGTCAAATTTATTGCTGGCCCCTTGAAATTTGAATTCAAAGGTTTGACTGTACTGTATTAGATTTCTTGGGCAAAAGCAAGCCAGTGGACAATACGGTCATTCAATTTAAACAATGTATTTCAACTCTAAAAATGATGATACAGAATGGAGTCCTGTTGCGTAGAAAATGCATCTTCATCTGATTCAGAGACAAAAATCTCCCTCACCTATATTATTCTGGAATTATTAAGGCAGAATATGCAATGCGTGTCATACTTATTCAGAAAAGAATAAATTCGTAATATACTCGATTGCTCACACTGTTGTCCTTCATCCAAATGAGCTGAGCGAGTGTTTCCACTGCGTGCAGTGCACCCCAGATAGTATTACTTCGAATGACAACTGCAGCTGCGTCGTTGCTGTCCGTTTCTTCGGTCATTATTTCATATTGCTAGGGATTTGGATGAATATCATGAACTTCGAAAAGGAACATATTCATTAGCATTTGGATGAGCATTGCATCTGGTCATTGCTGGTTTTAGTGGTGAATATGAAGACGGCGACCCCGACGGATGAAATGAGTTTTCGCAAGAAACGTGCTTGAGCTTGTTGGAGAGTGACATCTATATAATTTCTATAAAACACTGACCTCCGAACTGCAACTGTCGTTGGGAGAGGTATCCAAAGAAGGATAACTTTCGCACCACGATGCGGTCGAAGAGCACTCCGCGGTTTCAAATCGCATCTCCTCGATCACGAGGACTCCTGGCAACACAGCTGTATTCATTCCCAGTGGGAAAAGCTTTGCTGAGATAATTTCCATCTCATATTGATATATCTCGCAATCCCGGATTGAGTTCGAAGCAGCGGATATCAATAAATCGGACGGTGCGAACGTGTACAAGGACTGCTGGGAGCTTTGCATAGAGGCAGGTTTTGGCCACGGAGTTCCTGGATTTGCAGGTGTTCCCTGGGAAAATAAAATACGTGCGTCTGAAATCAGCCTTTGGCCGATTTTTTTCTTGTTCCGGCGAGACGCATTAGAATTTCGTGGAATGATTAATCATCAGTGCGCATATAGTAATTTGTCCATTTTGGTCAGCCATTTTTTGGGGATTTAAAAGAAATTTTATTTCCTTGCAGCCTGCATTAATTCTTCATGTCATTTAATTTTCAACTCCTTTCTCATATAACCGCAACAGACGCCAATACTGTAAATTAATCCCAATTCTCATCCGAGGAGCGCACGTGGACGATTTCTGAATTGTTTTTTTGCAGGGTTCGTAATCTTGCTGGACAAAAACAATCGGATACCGAAATGAGGCCCAAGAGACCCAACTGACTCAAGGCAGCCAATGGGTTAGCCCCGCAAAGTGTTTTCCGAAGGTAATTCTTCCATGCATATTCTTTCCCGAACAAAAACATCAAAACCTTAGCATCAATTCTCACATGACGACAATTGAACAAAGGCAGTCACTATCTTACATCGGCGGATCACAATTTAATGAAATTTTTAGGCGAAAATGGTTGATTTATTTCCGCCGAAATATCCATCGTGATGGTCAATGAATAAATTTCTTTGTTTGGATGTTCCACGATTTTAGCTATTTTAAAAGGATCATAAAAACCTTTCCAATTCTGGGTATTTGTTAGTTTTATATTGTTCACCATTTTGATCCTAAAGTTTTGGAAATTTTGGAACAGAAGGGAAAGAGGTGAAGAAAAGAAACGCCTGATAATGAATTCAGAGTTGACGTCCTTGAAACAACAATACAAATTTGATGAGCAGTACATTTTCAATCTACAGAATCCAAGGGTTCCAAATATTTGCAATGAATATAGCAGAAGTTGTTTACAGGAATTGAAACATTTTGGTCATACCGGTATTATAAAAATGTCCTTGGAAACTTCGTGAAATGAGAATGAAACTATTTTTCACTGCCACTGTCGATGGGATACAGTACAGAATCAATTTTCGTTTGAATGATACCATCTGGTTTCTGTCTATCGATAACGACTTGAAAGAATGAAAAAGTTGCCATTTTCTTGCGTAATCACGATTCCATTTGATATGACGGAATCTATCAATTCTTTGTTGACTGCAATTTCAACATTCGTGGATATTCGGCAACTGCAATATTTCATTGGCCATAGCCATACTCTATTTTGCTATTTTCTAGGGCTGGAAACATGAAAAAACACACCCCAGTTAGTTTCACAATAAACTGATTCTATTTTTAATGTACGCTTGTTTCCAATATATAGGCGTGTACGGCTTGAAATAGTTTCTGAAAAAGTTACAGAGGTTAGTATTGCTGAAATGCACTATATAATCATTTTATGCTTTGCTGAAACTCCATCCCTTCGACATTATCTGCGAAAAATCTCGGAAAACGTCCCCAGGAACTGTTTCTTTCAGTGCACAAAGCCGACAGACAAAATTTTTATGCGCGCAATTTCGAATGACCTCGATTCCACGTCGTATGATTTGCAAACCGTGCTTTGCATTTCGCGGGTGAATGTATCGTTTTTGTCTGATGCTGTTGTGTCCGCAAACATTTATTTCTGCCCAAAAAAGTCTTGCAAAATCCTTCTGAATAAAACAGGAGTATGCAAATAACTATGGGAACACTGCTTTGAATGAGCTAACTCTCAGCCTAATCATGCTCCGTAAATTTTTCTCCCCGTCATCTCATTTTTAAAAGTCGCCAAAAGGCGCTTTCTGATGAACCGGGGCATTGGCTCAGCAGCGGGGCCCACGTACCCAGTATTTTTCGGCAAGAGAGAGAGAGAGAGAAAAAAAAAAGTCGGGCTGAAATCGCGGGCTGAAGCATTGCCCACTCGATGGACAGGGTATAATGAAAGCCGGGTAATGATAGGGCGAGGTGAAAATCGCTTAACGAGGCAACCCCACGGTCCCGATAAATCTCCCCGGTGGCATTCACTTCCTCGTTGTGGCGCAACCAGGCCCTCAGGGCGGACCGAACTTCTCGAGGAAACACGAACCCCGGGTTGTTATTACCCTTCTTTTTTTTTTCTTTTCTTTCTTTCTCGTCCTGCGTCCCCCTTCGGGTCCTATATACGAATGTGCATGTATATATAGAGGCTGTTGCTTACCTCTAATGGAATGTGCGGATTTATGGGGAACAGTTTCGCCATCGACGGTCGGAACAAGAGCGTGAGCAGAAGACTCAACGCAGTCAATCTGCTCCCGTGAACGTCGACCCTCATTACGAAAGAAACACTGAATAATCACCAGCCGAAGGATCAACTGAACGTCGGATTTTTTTGTGGAATGGTTATGCTCGAGCAAAACAAAAGCTTCCCACGCCATTAATAATACGTTTTTATCTTATCTTGGTTAAGCGCCCGATTGCCTTAACATCCATTTACTTCGCACAAATTTTCCCAGGTCGCGGAAATTTGCGGAGAAGACCATGTTTCCCAAAAAAAGACAGGTATAATTTACTACGTTCGTCCGAAAAAAATTTAATTGCTTGTTAATGGCGTGGATCTTTTTTCTTTCAGATGAGAAGAACGACCTGCAGACAACCAGAAATTTGGTTCAGAAAATTTCGAAGGTGAAAATCACAATGTCGTAGAATCTTGAAAGTCGAAAGAAAATTGACTACTGACGAAATTATTCCAGCAAGAGAAGAAGATTCAACGAAAGATGAATTTCAAAATTAGATTTTGAAATGCATAAAGGAAGAAGATTTCAATGCCCACACAGTATCGCTGATTTTAGCAACCCTGTTGCTGCGTATTATTTTTGAATAACCCCTGAACATTTTAGTAATATTCCTTCCGTTAATTTTCGCATTCACAGGTGAAATAAAAAAGGAAATGTTCCAATGTAACCAACACAGGTATATTTTTCGATGAACAGCATATTCAGCAACAATCTACGTCTGGCTATCAAGATGGCTGATGAACAAGCAAAAAAAAATCACCAGAAAGTTTCCCGCCGAAAAAAGCTACTACAGTCAGTCTATAAAGCTGCTTCTGAATGCATGTCCACATCATGGACAAAATTATTCAAACAACAGCGCGTTGATGAGAAATAGTGAGCGTATTTCAGAGTGATAATTCCTAAGTTCTAAATTGCTAGATAAGTATCTACAATATTTAACAATGCATAACAAACGCGTAGAAAACATGCGAAAAAGTAAGAAGATGAAAAAATATAGTAAAATCCTCCGCCTCGTAAGAAATGGATCTCCGGCGAAGATAACGTAAAAAAACACTAGTGTTTAAAAACAAAAAAAAATTCAGATGGACTAGAATTTTTCTGAAATCGCCTTCCTGAGCTTCTTTTCCCGAAGAAACGAAACCACGCAGAGTTTCGAACTTATTTGAGCCAAAAAACGGCAAGATGAAATTATTCGAGGAGGACGATATGGTTTAGATAGTTAGGCGAAATGTTCGTCCCCGGAAGCTCCTTCAAGGTTCAAGAAACAGAATATTATCGGTACGTAATAATGAGGTTTCTGAACACTTTTATGTACACAATAATGGACTTGGCTGACGAACTCGTTGTCCGAATCTCCTTGCCTTCCTTGATCTTTGAAGCTGTTATTCTCCCTGAGCACCTGAATAGTTGAATAGACAATCCAATCGGATAAAAACGGAAAAATCAGTTAGACACGTCACACGTTTTTCTTACTCACTTCAAACAATGAACAGAGACCAACGCTGACCAGAAGGCACTCGAAAACCTGCACGTGGCACATATATCATATTCGAAATTTCCTTTCAACGACGAATCTGATATAGAAGTAAGATCTTTCCATGATAAGGACATAAAATCATTTTCTGCACATTTACGAATATTATTTTCGAGAAGCTCTTTGTGAATTATTTTTGCAAAGATCATGTGTACAACCATGTTCACTACGCAAATAATGTTTTCTGGTTCAGAGAGGAGAGGACGCTTCAGAAAAGTTACAAGCAGTTCCTTCCCAATTTCATTTTTGATGCCTCTAGAATATTTTTTTAATAACTATACATGATGATGACTATAGACCAGTTTAAATGATTTTCTTTCACCCGAAAAATTCTTTGTGTTTAGAATATGTGTGTGCACGAAACCTTGACTGAGAAAGTCTCTCTTTGACTCTTCGAGAGCTTTAACGTTAATAATTGGGTTGTTTGTTTTGCAGATGTTCGACAAAACTCTTTATATGAATGATACCATCTATAAAATTTGCCTCAGGAGTTTCTCTCGTTATCTGTCGAAAAAAATAACCTCATTTTCTCGAGTACAAAACGCACTTTTTTCGAGTTTAAAAGGAAAAAAAGGGGTTGATGCACGTCATATATAACAGGGGACACATTTTTCAAAAATTTCCGAAATTTATAGGTAGTATACTTGATTTTAACAGGAAATGTTGGACCAAGTTTATCAGAAAAAACTTTACTGGAATCAGTTGAAAATCAGTTAAAATCAGATTAATTCGTGTCGAAATATTCAATTTTCGTGTTCTCATTTTGGAAATATGGACATTAATGCGGCTCTAAAGAGTCACTAAAAAGGGGTCTTTCTGGCAATTTTGCCAGAGAAACTTATTTTACATCGTCATCAATTGGAAATTAATTGAAATCAGGCTATTTCATCTCTAAATATTCAATTTTTCTCATTCAAAACTATTGTTGTTTTAGAGAGTCATAAAAAATGCGCTGCGCGTCTTACTTGGGGATGCAATAATTTTGTCAAAAATTTCAACTGAAAATCTCAAGTGCATTTTTAAATTATTGAGAGCGCGTGCTTAGTACTCGAGTAAATTCCTTACCTAATTTCAGAACAGTCTTTTCTTTTTTAAGCGTATATGGAAAGAAATTGCTTACCGAAGTTTCGTGGGGGTCCTTCCGCCAAAAAATGTGGCCCCTTTTATCTTCACCAGTAACCACCTCCCTTCTTGTGTCCATGTCCATGTCCGTGGCCGTGGCCGTGGCCATGTCCGTAACCGTGGCCGTGTCCGTAGCCGTGGCCGTGCCCATGTCCGTAGCCGTGGCCTTTTCCGTAGCCCTTCTGCTGCTTGTAGCCGTGGCCCTCGTTGTGCTTGTGGCCGTGCTTGTGTCCGTGTTTGTGGCCGTGCTTGTGGCCGTGTTTGTGGCCGTGGGAGTGCTTGTGCGAGTGCTCATGCCAGTGTTTGTGGTGGTGCTCGTGCTTGTGCTTGTGGTGCGTCACCCTGCAAAAAAGAATTCAATTAAATTCAAGCGATTGCATTTTGTTTCAATTTCAGCGACTTGAAAATCTAAAATGTATCTACGAGAACATGTTAGTGGGTCTATAGGTATCTTCAAATGAAAAAAATATATACTGTATATAAATATGGTTACACAATCATGCAAAAACTCAATGGAATTTTAAAAATTGTAAATCTTGGAATCAAGAACTTAACGAGCATAAATTCTATGATCGTCTATTTGCAAAAAAAAAAACCGAAAAACGAAGAATTCGCTCATTTTTACGGTATTCGTGCCTTCTCTGCTGTTGAACAATGTACTGTATATTGTTTATGGATAAAAGAGTCCAGCTCTCGGAATTGTAAAGGGTTATCGAATTTTTGCAGAAATCCCTTCGTTCAAAAAATCAACCGAAAGTGTTCATAGCTGTCAGGAAATTTCAAGCCCGAGACTGTAGTTCTTCCGGTATAACATGAACATTTTAATAAGGGTTCCATCATTTGAATCTCTTGAAAATTATCGCGGATGAAGACTTAGATATGAGATAAATGACGTGATGACTATATTAAGGATGGACATCGACGGAGCTCTAAATCCGTGCCAAGTATATATTGCCTCGCTTTTTTAGAGTAGTATATTTATAGATGTAAAATTTACATATGCCTAAGCTAGGAAAATTGACGGTTTCTTTGGAGACATCGCGTAATACCAATTAAAAATCCAAAGGTACAAAAGATGTACACTTGATCATCATCTCTGTGTTCTTTTCTCCTCCGTGTAAAGAAAATCACTTCAAAGAAATGGGAAAAGGTTCGAAACTATTCATCGTGTTAAATACGATTAAAATCAGTGTTTCCATTAAATATTTAAACACATACGAAATTCGTATCGTCGGGGATCCTTTAAAAAAATTGTCTTAGTTCGGAAACGCCGCTCTCTTGAAGATTAAGCTATATGCAGTACTTTTGAAAAATTCTCGTGTTTCCGTGGATAAAATTTTATTTTGTTAATTTTTCCATGGTAGTTTTTAAATGTTCACGTGCTCACAGGACCAAATTTTAGTTAGCTCAAGCAAATACAGGCAAGCCGATGTCAGAAAGATATATATGTCAAATCTCTAAATTCATTTGTCGGATATAAAATAATTTAAATTTACTACACTTTGGAATGCTTACAAATTGAAACGCCGAGCTGAAAATACGCGTGTAAAGTGTATACATAAGTTGAAAATGGGGGTTTCGAAAGTGACTCGTGCAAAATATGACATGATCAAGGGAAGACGAGAAACGACTTCAAGTACCTACTAGTAGTTCTACTAGAAAGGAAAAAAACTTTGTAATGCATGAGGCTGTTCCAAATCTCTGCCTATTCTCGTTTTGCAAAGTTTCAACCATAACTTTCTCAACTCCGCGTCTCGTGAATCACGACCGAGGGCAATAAATTGTTGAGCATCAGAAGAGAAGTATTCGTTTGATCAAACGAATTGTTTTTCATTATTACGCAAAAATGAGGAATTTTATTGGTACACATTCATTTAGGTAGGGTTATTTACGCAGTACTGCATATCCGAAAGAAGTGCTGCAACTGTTCCCAGGAATGCTGACTAAAGTTAATTTAAACTGCTAAAGGTTTTTAAACTCTTTAGTTTCCTTTTTATGGACTTTTCCGTAGCTTTCGTGATTAAATTTCGTGCATGCATTGATATAGGCATGATGTGCGTACTTATAGATAGAAAATATTAAATTTCAGGAACTTTATAGTCACAAATGGTCATTACTTTTCTTTATGAATCGAAGAAACGGTGTCCCAAATATTTCCTTTCAGACCCGTAAAATGAAAGATCATGAAACAGTCTATACAATTGTGCCCATTCGCGTGAATGTCTGCGAAATGCATACTATTGTTAGTGCACGCAATAAATTCTGGTTTCAAAGATCTAAAATTTTTCATTCAAACCTTCATACTTAGAAAGTCGTACTATAATGTCTGCTCAAAAGGTTTTCATTCATTTTTTGTTTGTCTTGAGAATTTTTTTTTATAGAAAAGGGATTTTTGAAAACCTTTATATGAATATACTATTCTTATCTTCGCTCATCCTTTTTCATTGT